TAGGAAGGAAAACAGGTATACTGAATTTTTGTAGACAATTGTTTCGCTTGATACCAGTAGTTATGATAGAAATATATGAACTAGCACTCATACACTTTTTGTAAGAATAATAATCATATTTACCAATACTGCAGATTGTAAATATGCTCCCTATCTCAAGTTTCACTAACAGAGCTTTAAGCCTGGTATTGGTCTGTAAAATAGTAAAGAGTTCATTGATACTCTTAGCTGTGTCCAGTTTTATAGTAAGTTGTTGTAGATTACGATGACAGTTGAATATGAGGCATGGTGGATACGGTAGAGGTAGTATCAGACATTTTAATCCTTTGATACAGGGAAGAAGTGAATTCATTAGTATACTACTGCCCTCTCCTATCTTTAGATAAATCAATTTTGATATTACGTTCATTTTATTCACTGGTAATGGAATGTAACAATTGGGTATGTTGATGGAAAGAGCTTGTAATGTGTTGTTGTTTCTCAGTAAGTTCTCTATTACACCATCAGTTAGAGCATGATGATCAGAATAAGAACTAAACAGTTTTAATGTGAATGATGTTATCATTTTGTTTTGGGTAATTCCATTAATAACACCTGCCACAAATGGTTCAAGAAGTTTATGTGTTGGCAAGTTATCACAAGATATAACAATAGTTTGTAATTTTGAATTTGTTTTGATACATTGTTGAAGTTCAGAACATTTTCTAATATAAGTAGTCTCATCAAGATTTGTGCGAATTTCTCCACAAAACCTTAGCACTTTGAGTTGAGGTAAAGTGACTAACTGTATCAATGTAGGAACCAAGTCACATGTATTGCGCTCAGAAACAACTATTATATTTTGAATATTATGCAATAGTGGCTTTCCAAAAAAATTGACCCCTAAATTACTGTCAGAAATATTTTTAAGCACCACCTTCAGCTCCTGGCACTGACTTATTGATGATTTATTACTTAATCCAGCAGTCAGCACTGATAATGATTGCTCATCTAATTCATGCAGGTCCAACTTAACCCATTTTGCATTATTTAAGAGATAACTGAAACACAACCATTCAA